TTGATTGGATGATTGTGTCTCATCACGTGACCTGTCTAATTTTACACACTTGTGTCAAACAAAGGAGGAACATGAAGCCAAACTGTCCTGCTGTCACGTTGAACGCTGAGCCCAAAAGATCCACTTAACACGTGGAATTTAAGAAGACATCATTTTCTAAAGTTTATACTTTCTAACTTAGTTTAAACTGATCATGGTTTCTTTATTATGCCCAACAGTGAGGCCTATTTAAAGTAAAACACCTGAGAATCATGCAGCAGATAGATACAACTGGACCATTTCCCTGACAGTACAGCAACAGGTTTCACAAAATGACAGTGATTTTTCAGTCGGCTGATTAACTCAGGAAGGAAACATATTGCATCACTTCCTGTTCTCGTATTTGTAGAGCCACTTGAGGTTATCGTGACTTTATACAGTTTTAAAATATATTGTTGTTGCTACATTTGCCCTTAGCCAGCATAGCTCTTATCCAGCATAGCCCTTAGCCAGCATAGCTCTTAGCTAGCATAGCCCTTAGCCAGCATAGCCTTTAGCCAGCATAGCCCTTAGCCAGCATAGCCCTTAGCCAGCATAGCCTTTAGCCAGCATAGCCCTTAGCCAGCATAGCCCTTAGCCAGCATAGCCTTTAGCCAGCATAGCCTTTAGCCAGCATAGCCCTTAGCCAGCATAGCTCTTAGCTAGCATAGCCCTTAGCCAGCATAGCCTTTAGCCAGCATAGCCCTTAGCCAGCATAGCCCTTAGCCAGCATAGCCGTTAGCCAGCATAGCCTTTAGCCAGCATAGCCCTTAGCCAGCATAGCTCTTAGCTAGCATAGCTCTTAGCCAGCATAGCCCTTAGCCAGCATAGCTCTTAGCTAGCATAGCCCTTAGCCAGCATAGCCCTTAGCCAGCATAGCCTTTAGCCAGCATAGCCCTTAGCCAGCATAGCCCTTAGCCAGCATAGCCTTAGCCAGCATAGCCCTTAACCAGCATAGCCTTTAGCCATCATAGCCCTTAGCCAGCATAGCCCTTAGCCAGGATAGCCTTTAGCCAGCATAGCTCTTAGCCAGCACAGCCTTTAGCCAGCATAGCCCTTAGTCAGCATAGCCTTTAGCCAGCATAGCCCTTAGCCATAGCCCTTAGCCAGCATAGCATTTAGCCAGCATAGCTCTTAGACAGCATAGCCCTTAGTCAGCATAGCCTTTAGCCAGCATAGCCCTTAGCCAGCATAGCCCTTAGCCAGCATAGCCCTTAGCCAGCATAGCCTTTAGCCAGCATAGCCCTTAGCCAGCATAGCCCTTAGCCAGCATAGCCTTTAGCCAGCATAGCTCTTAGACAGCATAGCCCTTAGTCAGCATAGCCTTTAGCCAGCATAGCCCTTAGCCAGCATAGCCCTTAGCCAGCATAGCCTTTAGCCAGCATAGCTCTTAGACAGCATAGCCCTTAGTCAGCATAGCCTTTAGCCAGCATAGCCCTTAGCCAGCATAGCCCTTAGCCAGCATAGCCTTTAGCCAGCATAGCTCTTAGACAGCATAGCCCTTAGCCAGCATAGCTCTTAGCTAGCATAGCCCTTAGCCAGCATAGCCTTTAGCCAGCATAGCCCTTAGCCAGCATAGCCCTTAGCCAGCATAGCCTTTAGCCAGCATAGCCCTTAGCCAGCATAGCCCTTAGCCAGCATAGCCCTTAGCCAGCATAGCCTTTAGCCAGCATAGCCCTTAGTCAGCATAGCCTTTAGCCAGCATAGCCCTTAGCCAGCATAGCCCTTAGCCAGCATAGCCTTTAGCCAGCATAGCTCTTAGACAGCATAGCCCTTAGCCAGCATAGCTCTTAGCTAGCATGGCCCTTAGCCAGCATAGCCTTTAGCCAGCATAGCCCTTAGCCAGCATAGCCCTTAGCCAGCATAGCCTTTAGCCAGCATAGCCCTTAGCCAGCATAGCCCTTAGCCAGCATAGCCTTTAGCCAGCATAGCCTTTAGCCAGCATAGCCCTTAGCCAGCATAGCTCTTAGCTAGCATAGCCCTTAGCCAGCATAGCCTTTAGCCAGCATAGCCCTTAGCCAGCATAGCCGTTAGCCAGCATAGCCTTTAGCCAGCATAGCTCTTAGCCAGCATAGCTCTTAGCTAGCATAGCTCTTAGCCAGCATAGCCCTTAGCCAGCATAGCTCTTAGCTAGCATAGCCCTTAGCCAGCATAGCCCTTAGCCAGCATAGCCTTTAGCCAGCATAGCCCTTAGCCAGCATAGCCCTTAGCCAGCATAGCCCTTAACCAGCATAGCCTTTAGCCATCATAGCCCTTAGCCAGCATAGCCCTTAGCCAGGATAGCCTTTAGCCAGCATAGCTCTTAGCCAGCACAGCCTTTAGCCAGCATAGCCCTTAGTCAGCATAGCCTTTAGCCAGCATAGCCCTTAGCCAGCATAGCCCTTAGCCAGCATAGCCTTTAGCCAGCATAGCTCTTAGACAGCATAGCCCTTAGTCAGCATAGCCTTTAGCCAGCATAGCCCTTAGCCAGCATAGCCCTTAGCCAGCATAGCCTTTAGCCAGCATAGCTCTTAGACAGCATAGCCCTTAGCCAGCATAGCCCTTAGCCAGCACAGCCTTTAGCCAGCATAGTCTTTAGCCAGCATAGCCTTTAGCCAGCATAGCCCTTAGTCAGCATAGCCTTTAGCCAGCATAGCCCTTAGCCAGCATAGCCCTTAGCCAGCATAGCCTTTAGCCAGCATAGCTCTTAGACAGCATAGCCCTTAGCCAGCATAGCCCTTAGCCAGCATAGCCTTTAGCCAGCATAGCCCTTAGCCAGCATAGCTCTTAGCTAGCATAGCTCTTAGCCAGCATAGCCCTTAGCCAGCATAGCCCTTAGCTAGCATAGCCCTTAGCCAGCATAGCCCTTAGCCAGCATAGCCTTTAGCCAGCATAGCCCTTAGCCAGCATAGCCCTTAGCCAGCATAGCCTTTAGCCAGCATAGCCCTTAGCCAGCATAGCCTTTAGCCAGCATAGCTCTTAGCCAGCATAGCCTTTAGCCAGCATAGCCTTTAGCCAGCATAGCTCTTAGCCAGCATAGCCTTTAGCAGCATAGCCCTTAGTCAGCATAGCCTTTAGCCAGCATAGCCCTTAGCCAGCATAGCCCTTAGCCAGCATAGCCTTTAGCCAGCATAGCTCTTAGACAGCATAGCCCTTAGCCAGCATAGCCTTTACCCAGCATAGCCCTTAGCCAGCATAGCCCTTAGCCAGCATAGCCCTTAGCCAGCATAGCCTTTAGCCAGCATAGCCCTTAGCCAGCATAGCCTTTAGCCAGCATAGCCCTTAGCCAGCATAGCCTATAGCCAGCATAGCCTTTAGACAGCATAGCCCTTAGCCAGCATAGCCCTTAGCCAGCATAGCCCTTAGCCAGCATAGAATTTAGCCAGCATAGCCCTTAGCCAGCATAGCCCTTAGCCAGGATAGCCTTTAGCCAGCATAGCTCTTAGCCAGCATAGCCTTTAGCCAGCATAGCCTTTAGCCAGCATAGCCTTTAGCCAGCATAGCCTTTAGCCAGCATAGCTCTTAGCCAGCATAGCCTTTAGCCAGCATAGCCCTTAGTCAGCATAGCCTTTAGCCAGCATAGCCCTTAGCCAGCATAGCCCTTAGCCAGCATAGCCTTTAGCCAGCATAGCTCTTAGACAGCATAGCCCTTAGCCAGCATAGCCTTTAGCCAGCATAGCCTTTAGCCAGCATAGCCTTTAGCCAGCATAGCCCTTAGTCAGCATAGCCTTTAGCCAGCATAGCTCTTAGCCAGCATAGCCCTTAGCCAGCATAGCCTTTACCCAGCATAGCCCTTAGCCAGCATAGCCTTTAGCCAGCATAGCTCTTAGCCAGCATAGCCTTTAGCCAGCATAGCCCTTAGTCAGCATAGCCTTTAGCCAGCATAGCCCTTAGCCAGCATAGCCCTTAGCCAGCATAGCCTTTAGCCAGCATAGCTCTTAGACAGCATAGCCCTTAGCCAGCATAGCCTTTAGCCAGCATAGCCTTTAGCCAGCATAGCCTTTAGCCAGCATAGCCCTTAGTCAGCATAGCCTTTAGCCAGCATAGCTCTTAGCCAGCATAGCCCTTAGCCAGCATAGCCTTTACCCAGCATAGCCCTTAGCCAGCATAGCCCTTAGCCAGCATAGCCTTTAGCCAGCATAGCCCTTAGCCAGCATAGCCTATAGCCAGCATAGGCTTTAGCCAGCATAGCCCTTAGCCAGCATAGCCCTTAGCCAGCATAGTCTTTAGCCAGCATAGCCCTTAGCCAGCATAGCCCTTAGCCAGCATAGCCCTTAGCCAGCATAGCCTTTAGCCAGCATAGCCCTTAGCCAGCATAGCCTTTAGCCAGCATAGCCCTTAGCCAGGATAGCCTATAGCCAGCATAGCCTTTAGCCAGCATAGCCCTTAGCCAGCATAGCCCTTAGCCAGCATAGTCTTTAGCCAGCATAGCCCTTAGCCAGCATAGCCCTTAGCCAGCATAGTCTTTAGCTAGCATAGCCCTTAGCCAGCATAGTCTTTAGCCAGCATAGCCCTTAGCCAGCATAGTCTTTAGCTAGCATAGCCCTTAGCCAGCATAGTCTTTAGCCAGCATAGTCTTTAGCCAGCATAGCCCTTAGCCAGCATAGCCTTTACCCAGCATAGCCCTTAGCCAGCATAGCCTTTAGCCAGCATAGCCCTTAGCCAGCATAGCCTATAGCCAGCATAGTCTTTAGCCAGCATAGCCCTTAGCCAGCATAGTCTTTAGCCAGCATAGCCCTTAGCCAGCATAGCCCTTAGCCAGCATAGTCTTTAGCCAGCATAGCCTTTAGCCAGCATAGCCCTTAGCCAGCATAGCCCTTAGCCAGCATAGCCTTTAGCCAGCATAGCCCTTAGCCAGCATAGCCCTTAGCCAGCATAGCCCTTAGCTAGCATAGCTCTTAGCCAGCATAGCCCTTAGCCAGCATAGCGCCCTTATGGCTAAGCTGCACAACCACAGGACAAGCTGTCTGATCTGACACAGATCTATAGAAATACACACCACAGAAGCTGTTGCCGTGTTTATTGAAGCTGAAGCCATATCGGAAAAGTTTGTGAATTATGAGCCAGAAACTTTGTGTATAAAATCTGCAGATAATCTTCAGACAAATAGATTCAATTTAGTTGAGTTAAACTTGACATATTTCAGTTAAATCATGAAAAAATTGAAGCTCTTTGGTTAATTTTAAAACAATAGTGTATCAGTTGAGAAGATTCCAGTAACTGAACAAATCACAGTGATGGTCGGGTATCTGCTGACCACTCCAGCTGTTTGGATTGATTCCAGATGGGTAACTGGTCCAGTTCAACCAGTTCAACCAGTTCACCTCTCCATCCGCCCCCAGGCCGCCGGAGGATCTCTGGGTCCTTTCGGCTTCTGGATGCGACAGTTAAAACCTGAGAAACCAGAACAAAACACGCTACTTTTACTAGAAACCCAAAGGAGCCGTCTAATTCCTGGACACAAAAACATTTCATGTTTTCTCCTGACTGTGCGACGTGAGGCACACACTAAAAGCAGACTGTGGACAAACAGACCAGGGAGGAGGACAGACTGTCCAGCTGATGGCGCCTCAGAGCTCCAACATCGCGACAAACCCAGCAAAAATGTTCTTTAAAGGATCTGGGTTCAATCATTGGTTCTGGTTCTGTGCCTGATTCAGTTTATATAAATATAAATAAGTTAATGAGAAACCATTTCTAATGTGACGGAGACAGAGAAGAAAGGAGGGAGGCGGAGAAAAGAGGAGAGGACAGAAGATAACACCATGCTCTGCTTGTACACCTGCGGAAAAACAGAGAAACCATGGCAACAAACATCAGCTTAACGACAACAATGTCACTGAGAAGCACAGGGTGCCGATCAACACGCTTCATTGCAACTACAGCCGAGCAGCGTGAATCTGAAAACACAAGAATCTGAGTGGAAAGTTTGTCCGTGTGCGCTGAGCAGCAGGTGAACTGACCGATGGCTCCAGGTGTGAAGAAGCTGCTGACGTCTGAGGCAGGAGAGGAAACGTCTTCATAGTCGTTATCTGCTTCTGCTGGGAAACACCAGTGACACCGTCAGGCCTTCAGTCACACCGTCAGGCCTTCAGTCACACCGTCAGGCCTTCAGTCACACCGTCAGGCCTTCAGTCTGCAGACGCCCGGCGCCGCTGCAGGGACTGACCTGGCACCAGGTGAGGGTCTTCCCTCTGGTTGGTCGGGGCGGCGATGTCGTAAATGGGCGAGGCTGAGGTCAGCGGTTTGACCTTGGGCTTCACAGTGCTGTAGATGGGAGCTGCAGAAGCTGGGCTGAGGTCGTTGTCATAGTGATGGGATGGCGGCAGGGTTCTGGAAGGAGGAAGCAGCAGATTAAAGATGGAGGAAACGTTTCCATGCCCCCCGGTACCAACTGCAGGACTGGAAGCCGTAGCACTCCCTTTGCAAAAAAAACATCAACTTCTGGAACTCCTTCCTCACTTTTATTCATGTTTCAGCAATTATTACATTAGCTTAGCATAAATGTTCCTCTGACCTTCTGCTTCCAGGTTGATGTAGCTGCTCAAGCTACGTTAGCTTAAGGAGCTAACGTAGCTTGAATTAGACTGGCAGCCAAACAGAAAAAATGGAATGGAAAAATAACATTTCAATTATTTAAACTGAAATTTCATAATAACGACTAGGTTAGATAAAAAAATCTGTTGGATTAAATCTCTCATTTTTGACCTTTTTTTCATCTCAGTTCTGCCTCAGCGCCCCTGGTGGCCCCCTAGATCACTGCAGCCCCCCATGTTGAAAATCTGGGCCTGCTTTGGTTTCATTGGTCCAAAGAAAATTGTCCTGACAACAAGGATCTGGATGCCGCTGGTTTACCAGGACTGAACTTTAACCTTTCGCTCCCTGCAGTCTGCATGGAGACACTTCCATCCATTGACTCCAACCGGGCCAGAACCTCAGGCCTGGTCCTGCAGGGACCGTCAAACAATACGAAGACTGCAGGTCCATGGAACCGTCTGAGGTTCTGGGTACTGGACCGGACGTCTCTACCTGGTTCCTGGGTTGGACCTGGGCGTGACCACAGAGGAGTAGGACGGTTCTGATGTGGTCCGGTGTGGCTGCTTGGCCTTGTTGACCACAGCGTAGGTATCGTTCATGGCAGATGAGCTGTGGACAGACAGAAGATGGGTCAGAGACATCTGACGCCTCAGAGCTCCAACATCGGGACATAAACCCAGCAAAAATGTTCTTTAAAGAATCTGGGTTCAATTATTGGTTCTGGTTCTGAAACTCACTTCAGTACCATAAACATAAACTCCAGAATATATTCAACTTGGATTCACCAGGTAGTAACCAGTAACCAGTACCATTAACTAGTAACCAATACCAGTAACCGTACCATTAACCAGTACCATTAACCAGTAATCTGTACCATTAACCAGTAACCAGTACCGCTAACCAGTACCATTAACTGGTAACCGGATGTCTCTACCGGACGTCTCTACCGGACGTCTCTACAAGTACCAGTAACCAGTACCATTAACTAGTAACTGGTACCAGTAACCAGTACCATTAACCAGTAACTGGTACCAGTAACCAGTACCATTAACTAGTAACTGGTACCAGTAACCAGTACCATTAACCAGTAACTAGTACCAGTAGCCAGTACCATTAACCAGTACCATTAACTAGTAACCAATACCAGTAACCGTACCATTAACCAGTACCATTAACCATTAACCAGTAAGCAGTATCATTAACCAGTACCTGTAACCAGTACCATTAACCAGTAACCATTAACCAGTACCATTAACCATTAACCAGTAACCATTAACCAGTAACCATTAACCTTTAACCAGTAACCATTAACCAGTAACCATTAACCAGTAACCATTAACCATTAACCAGTAACCATTAACCAGTACCATTAACCAGTAACCAGTACCATTAACCAGTAACCATTAACCATTAACCAGTACCAGTACCCAGTACCATTAACCATTAACCAGTAACCATTAACCAGTACCAGTAACCATTAACCAGTAACCATTAACCAGTAACCATTAACCTTTAACCAGTAACCATTAACCAGTAACCATTAACCAGTAACCATTAACCATTAACCAGTAACCATTAACCAGTACCATTAACCAGTAACCAGTACCATTAACCAGTAACCATTAACCATTAACCAGTACCTGTAACCAGTACCATTAACCATTAACCAGTAACCATTAACCAGTAACCAGTACCATTAACCAGTACCAGTAAATATTAACCAGTAACCATTAACCTTTAACCAGTAACCATTAACCAGTAACCAGTACCATTAACCATTAACCAGTAACCAGTACCATTAACCAGTACCAGTAACCATTAACCAGTAACCATTAACCAGTAACCAGTACCATTAACCAGTAACCATTAACCATTAACCAGTAACCATTAACCAGTAACCAGTACCATTAACCAGTACCTGTAACCAGTACCATTAACCATTAACCAGTAACCATTAACCAGTAACCATTAACCATTAACCATTAACCATTAACCATTAACCAGTAACCATTAACCAGTAACCAGTACCATTAACCATTAACCAGTAACCATTAACCAGTAACCATTAACCATTAACCATTAACCATTAACCAGTAACCAGTAACCATTAACCATTAACCAGTAACCATTAACCAGTAACCAGTACCATTAACCAGTACCTGTAACCAGTACCAGTAACCAGTACCAGTAAATATTAACCAGTAACCATTAACCATTAACCATTAACCATTAACCAGTAACCAGTAACCATTAACCAGTAACCATTAACCAGTAACCAGTAACCATTAACCAGTAACCAGTACCATTAACCAGTAACCAGTACCATTAACCATTAACCAGTAACCATTAACCAGTAACCAGTACCATTAACCATTAACCAGTACCATTAACCTTTAACCAGTACCATTAACCTTTAACCAGTAACCATTAACCAGTAACCAGTACCATTAACCATTAACCAGTACCATTAACCTTTAACCAGTAACCATTAACCAGTAACCAGTACCATTAACCAGTAACTAACCCGACCAATAACCCTGCACTATTAATAATAAACCCATCATGGAGGATCTGATGATCCGTCTTCTGCTCAGAGAATCTCAACCAGCAAACAGGAAACTCATCTGTTCTCCACTTCCTGTGTGGTCGTCATGGTGACGCTGTACTTCCTCATGAGGAAGTACACACACCTAACACACACACACACACACACACACACACACACCTAACACACACACACACAC